AATTAGGAAAACCACACTCAGCATCCCTAGCAGCAGCTCAGCACTAAGCCTCACATTCACTGTCCTGCAGGATGGAGTGCTAATTATTCATATGGAATAATAGCTTTCATGTGAAGTAATACATTGACTCTCCTCCAAAATCTAGCTTGGAATTTAAAAGATTATGAACAGTGCCAAGAAAACTACTCCAGGGCAAAACAACCCTGAATCTTCAAGTTTAGACAAGAGCCTTACTATAAACAAACAAAAGTGTGATATTGTTTAAATTGGTCTTTGAAATTGTCAGTGGGAGATCCATTTTTTTTCATGAAATCCTCCAAACAGGTGGGGAACTTTTACCTTCATAATGCAAAGTTAACTTCCAAATATTACCCAGGGAGCATTTCATAAAATATGTTGTGATATATACTTTAAGTTGCACAGGTATTGAAACAATCACTGCAAGCTCTTTTTTGTAATTACCACCTAAGTATGTCCTTGAAACCAAAGAGTCTGGGCCCCAGGGAACTCAGAATATCATTCTATCTTTCACTGGGTTGCCTTTGAACAAACCATTCCTTTGGCCACCAAAGCCAAACTCTCATTTTGTGAGGACAAACAATTTTAGCATAGAGTATATTCTTCCCTCATGCTCTCTGTTTTCATAACGGGGGTTTAAGGAACAGTTTGTTCACACAAGAATTTTATTAAACTCTCTTTGCACAAGTCTGCCATACAGGAAACCCCTGATGCTCACACCTCAGATTCTCAAGCACATGGCACTGCAGCCACCACAACAAACTGCAGTATATATGTATTTTTTTATATATATGTCTGTAAGATACAGAGATTGCTGAATTTTGTGGTTGTGTTTAGCTAAAAATCAGACTGAGAATGGAAGGAACAAAATAAAGGAACAAAATAACTTCTCCCGTAAGACTGCCTCAGTCCTGGCCTTGCTGCATCATCTAAGCAGTGACATGAATCTGCTGCACCCAGTGAGGCAGGTGCTCCAATGAGGCTATTCAAACCTCCTGTTTCTAGAAGGTGTTTGTGAGGGAGCAATTGGTTTGATGGAAAATACTAATAAATTTTATACTGGCTTCTGCATTGGATTTTTGACCTGTTTTACTGGGGACCTTCAACAGACACATTTTCCTATTAAAAAAATATGAAAATAGGACCTTTAAATATTATTTCACTTTGGGAGAATAACCAAAATGATAAATTTTAATAGGATATATTCTTTCTTGACCATAACCATAAAATGTATTTTCAGAATGTATTCCTTCAGAAAAAAACTGGGTTTTTTGTTATGTCTTTTTTTTTTTTTTTTTGCTATATTTTTAGTAACTTCTTGTTTATGAATGTTTTGCAGACAAAATGAAATTATAAAAATAAGAATTGAAATTTTAAAAATGGAACCAAGGACCATTTTTCAAAAACACTGTTTTGTAGGAAAACCAGAATGTATTCCTTCAGAAAAAAAACTGGGTTTTTTGTTATGTCATTTTTCTTTTTGCTATATTTTTAGTAACTTTCTGTTTATGAATGCTTTGCAGACAAAATGAAATTTTAAAAATAAGAATTGAAATTTAAAAAATGGAACCAAGGATCATTTTTCAAAAACACTGTTTTGTAGGAAAATGTGTGGAGTGAAAAAATTGTCATTTCTGAATTTTCTGTGGAATTGCAATTCCAAGTTTGGAAAGCATACCTTCTTCATCTGGGATGGACAGACTGATGTTATCAGGGAACCACAGTAAGCTGAGTTTACTTTGAACTGATGACATACTGTCATTTTCCCTAAATGCATGTGTCAAGTGACATTCTAACTGGTTTCCATTTCAGACCTTCCTGTCATCTTCCGTTCCATTTTGCACTCATGAAGTTGTGAGAAGAAGTTCAGAAACACCTGCACAATCACAATGATTTGCAATCACTGCTCAGCTCCTTTGAAAATTCAAACTTTCCCATGATACTCTTCCGTTCTATTTTGCACTCATGAAGTTGTGAGAAGAAGTTCAGAAACACCTGCACAATCACAATGATTTGCAATCACTGCTCAGCTCCTTTGAAAATTCAAACTTTCCCATGATACTCCTGGGTCTCACTGACTCAGACTGCCTCCACTGTGGGCACGTGCAAATAAAAAGCAACTGAAATGATGCTGCAGTCTAGAAAATATCACCTCCTTGACGCAGAAGGATTCTCCAGGGTGCCAACATCTCCAGCTTCATCTGGTTGTCTGATGAAGTTGTAGACATTTGTAAGTGCTAAAATGCTGAACTTGGCGATTCACAGTTTGGCTATGATATTTGGTTGCTTTAAGATAATATGTGCTCTTATTATTTTGCCTTGTCCTGAGATTACTCAGACTTTTCTCTGGTATAAACAGTAACTTCAAGAAGTTTTTTTCACCCCCATCTCTTACAAGAAGTAAAGACAATATTCTCAACCGTCACTGGTTTAAAGTTAAGATCAAACCATAAAATAACTGTCTCAATCCTGCAAAGATTTATATGTTTCATTGTATAAAATTGTATGGAGGATGCCCCGCTGACATCAACAAGACTGCTGCGTCGCTGGTTTCAAGTTAAGATCAAGACATGCAAACCATAAAATAACTTTCTCAATCCTGCAAAGATTTATATGTTTCATTGTATAAAATTGTATGGAGGATGCCCCGCTGACATCAACAAGACTGCTCATGTGTCAAGCACGTGTGCATGTTTTTGTAGGATAGAGAGGCACAAGTAATTTGATTCCCAAAGGTGTTCAATGCATGTAACTCTCACTGACTTCCAACATCTCTGTCTCTTAGTGTTGCTAGCCACCTGCTACTTGTTTAGGTGCCAATCGAAAAATTTAAAAATCTAGATCCACAAATTTAAGTTAATTTTAAGTTAAAGCTGGGACTTTGCATGAAAGCTACACCCCAATGTACTGCTACACTGACCTGGAAAGGCAGCATTCTGCACTGTGGATGTTAGTTTGCCCCCTTGCTCTACCTCTTTGTTTACTAGAAATTAGTGATGGGGAATTATCTCCCACCTCATCACAATTTCACTTGGGAGTTGCCTCCTGCTATGAGTGAACTCAGAGTTCAGTAACAACAACTGCTAGCTTTTCCAAAGTAGAAAAGCAGGCATTCTCTAAATTATTCCCTTCAGTCGGATGCACTGTATCATTGGAGAGGCAGTAGCTTAACACAAAGCATTTATTACTATACACCTACATTTACCACTGATGTGATGTAGTTAAAGAGACGATGATTTTATTTCCCTGTCTCCCTTGGTTAAAACCACTGGGAAAGGGAGTAATTTCTACCTATATATCATGATTTACCTTGAATGTAAATATGATCACGTATCTCTGTGTGTGTGTGCGCATGTGTGTGCATGCACACATGTGGGTATAAACTAAATAACCATAAGAAACAGGATGTTTTGATTCAGACCCTCAGATGATACAAAAAGTGAGTACTTTATTGGACACAATGAACTACAGCTTTGCAGAATAGGTGTGGAGAGTTTTTCTGCTTCTAAAAAATTAACAGTAACAACAATAATTGCCAAAAAGTGTCTCTCAACAATGGGACAAAGCTTTCCAAATAAAGGGTCGTTTACATGCAGAAGCATGCAGGTCAGCTGGTGCCTGTTTCTGTAAGGTGTGTTACCAGGGAAGAGAGGAGTCCTGATTCCAGCAACAGGAGAGGGAAGAATGTCAGAAGATGACCAAAAGCCACCAGATTTCCCCAGCATCCAGAGTATGCGGCTAAGTCTGATATCAGATGCCATACCAGGAGAAACATGTTATTATTGTAGCTCAGATTGAAGCTACAATCTGATGATGGGAATGGAATGCTTCCAAAATTATTCTTTCGAAAGAATATTAACAAGGGATTTGTTTCACTGGTTTTCTTTAACCGTGAGTTTTCCTAAGGGAAAAAAATCTTTCTGTCCATGCTTACTCAAAAACTTCTCATCTCAGGGAAGCAGGACCTACATGTTCTATGTATAAAATCCCAAACTTGTCTGGCTTTCCTAGATACTCTGTTCGAAGTGATTACCAGTTAAAAAATGTAATTGCATGTCTCAAAAAGTATCATGAAACAATCCTATATCATCTTAACTTATTTGTAAACTTATGGGAAAGTCTCTTAGACTGAACATATCATTCCCCGATATCAGTGTCCAAGATTCCTCTACTTCTCAGTGACTGCAGGTGCAATTTTTTGCTTTATGGATGTCCAAGCTTTTCCAATTGTCTACAACTATTCATGTGTATAGGTCACTCTAGAGCACATATGAGCTTTCTTTACTTATTCACCTTTTTCTGAACCCTAGAAATACTTTCTGGACCATGAAATGTTCATAGACAAAAAGCTGAAAAAGATAGCACTAGAGGAAAGAGTCATAGCTTGGGAAATCTTCAGTAAAAAAGTGATAAAGCCAGAGAGATTTTTTCAGGAATGAAAGTTGAGATTTTCCATATTCAAGTTTTGTGCTTTAAGAAATTGCCTCCTTTATTATTATTTACATTAGTTTAGCACCTACATTCCACCTGACATCGGCAGAGTCAAAGAGATGATGAATTTTTCTCCTTATTTAATATAGGAGTAAACACAACCACTGTCCCAAGCATTTCACCATCTGAAAAATGGACTTACCTCACCCTTATCTTATCCATTCTCAGAATCCAATTAATTAAGAAAATCCTCCCTCAGGAGAGCAACACACATAAACACAAAGTGACTTTTCACAGCCAAGAGAAGAACCAACACCTCTGGACTCCTCAATTGGCTTTGGAAGGCAGAAACCAATCACTTGTAGATAACTTTTGGCTTCTCCCACTGATGGTGGAAATGGGAAGAAAAACAATAAGCTACATTTCAGCCCTCTGGCCTTGCTTGGTGAGACTCATGAGGAAGATATCCAAAAACCTACAACTATGTATATTTAAAGACCCACTGTCTCTTCATGGAGCATTTTGTGGGGGAAACTGTAACAGACACTTACCATATTGTATTCACAGTATGAGAAAACACTGTGTTAAATCATCTTCTTTCCTTCCTTCCTTTCTTCCTTCCTTCCTTCCTTCCCTCATTTCCTTGTTTGTCGTAGTCCTTTTTGCAAGATCACAACTGGTGGCTCTGGAAAATGACCACATGATTGCCAGGATTATTAGGACATATTAAATGGAATACTCCAAGTAAGCTGTTCTTGCCCTTCCCTTCATCGTAAAGAATTTGTATACAAAAAAACCCAAAAATGACATTTAATACACATTAACCAAAATTGTCTCCAAAATCATTATTTTTTAAACTTTCCTGTAGATAGGCATTTTTAGACTTTGCCTTTAAAACACGGAAGTGCTTGTAGAAGGGGCTCTGTAATTATCACAGGATATCTTTACCAAACTTAGTGTGTAGCTAAAAATCAGACTGAGAAAGGAATGAACAAAATAACTTCTCCCATAAGACTGCCCCAGTCCTGGCCTTGCCACGTCATTTTAGTGGCAACATGAGTCCACTGCTGCACCCAGTAAAGCAGATGCTCCACTGAGTCTGTTCAAATCCCCTGTTCTAGAAGTGGTTTGTGAGGGTAAAAGAGGTTTGATGGAAATTATGAAGGCATTTTATGCTGACTGCTACATTAGAGTTTTGACTTGTTTTACTTCAGAGCTTCAGCAGACATATTTTCCCATGAAAACAAATTAAAATAGAAGGTTTCATCACGATTTCACATTGGGAGACTAAGCAAAATAACACATTTTAGTAGGATAAGTTCTCTCTCAACCATAACCATAAAATATATTTTCAGAATGCATTTCTTGGGAAAAAACTGTTATTTTTGATATTTTTAAATTACATAATTTTATTTTTTGCCATATTTTTAATCTTAGCCATTTATGAAAGTTTTGCAAACCAAATGAAATTTTAAAATGAGCCTTGACATTTAAAAAGTGGACCAAAGACCATTTTTTCAAAAACACTGTTTTGTTGGAAAGTGTGGAGTGGAAAATTTGCAATTTCTGAATTTTCTGTGGAATTGCAATTCCAAGTTTGGACAAGCATACCTGCTTCATCTGGGAAGGATAGACTGATGCTATCAGGGATCCCTGGTAAACTGAGTTGACTTTGAACTGATGACATAGTAATGAAGGTTTTAAATTCCTGAGCCATCCAACTGTCTATTAACAGCTCTTTAAACTTACTACATACACACTGATACTGATCTGCTTATTACTGCAGAAATTCTAAACATAAACATTATTATAAAACCTTGTTTTAGCCACCAAGAGGGTGAGAGACTGAAATACTAGACAGCTTTTCTTTGTCTTGTATTCCACGTGTGAGATTGGAGTTAGACATAACAGCCCTGTAACCTGCTCTGGGAGAAAAATAAGCCCTTATAGAAAAAAATGACCAGCAATTATTCAAACAATTTAGACTGAAAGGGCTTAGGAAGAGGTAGCTGAGAAAGGGGGAGGGAGAACCGTCACAGCTGAGGAAAATGAAGTACAAAAAAGTGTGGTAAGGACACAGATGTGTGTTTTTGTCAAGAAATGGTTTATTTCTTAGAAGGTTAATCAACAGGATAACGTTTTTACAATACATTTGGTACCATCAGCCATCAAGGGTTGCCAAAATGGACAGCCCCTTCATACTATGGGAAAGAAGACAAACTCCTCTGACTATATGCAATTTTGTACCATCAGGTGTTCCTATCAGGCTCTTTCGCCCACTTTCCCTGGTTTGTTTAGATCACTAAATGTGCCTGCCTTCCCTCTTTCAGTTTTTGTTTCTGGACTGATTGTGCTCTGCAGTCTGATTTCCACTTGAGTCCACTCAGGAATAGGATGCTGAAAAACGATTGTTTCCACTATTGGAGGCTGCCGTTTTTTAGTGCCACACACTGCCTTAACAAGCTTCACCCCGAGCGTGCGACTCAGCTGGCAGTGAAAAACAGGAAGCATTTTGGCACACATTTTCCCTTTGTGGGGTGAGAGAGGAAGCAGACGCAAGCCCTGGCTCAACAGTGACACAATTAAAATGGAAACAGAGAGCTGCCTTGCCCTTGGTGTGGCGTGAAATCAAACCTGGGTCACCCCTGTAGGCTGCCTGACTGCCAAGTCCCCCCGTTTGGGTTGGAGATATATGAGACATGTCCACATTAAAGTTCACATGTACGTGGTCTCCAGGGGCCTGAGCCAGCAAAATTGAGGGGAAGTCTCTCTGCTGATTTCCACAAAGTCTGGATCGAGGCCTGTCTCTACCCTTCTAGTGAGCAAGGACCCTCCCAACTAAGTGGGTAGAAAAATTTGTCAGGTAAAGATTGCTGTATTTGGTGTTACGAGTCTTCAACTACCTATAGCATTAAAAGAATAGGGGCACAATTTGGCAATAGTGGCACAGTAGACATTTGACTGTGTAATTTACAAGCGCAGATATTCTGGACTTGAAAAAGCAAGGTATCTTTTGGTGGTAATTCTTGTAAGTGGGCGCATTTCAGCTGCTGGTAAGCACAGGACTTCATTCTCCCAGCTGTCTAGGTGCTTTCCAAGTCCTCTTCATAGCTGTGTCTGAGAGTCCCAATTGTTACCTCATCTTTCTCTTTCCCCTCTGACAGGCACTCAGGCTAACATGTACCTAGTGATGATTTGGTACATAAAACTGAATGTATCCATGAGGAGAATAGGGGTTGGGTGTCTTCCTGATGAAGTTAATCATTTGGGAATATATCCAGGAAAATCCTATTCAAATGGACCACTGGAATCAAAAAGTTCCTTTCTGAGATTGTATTACACTAGAGACCACCATAAAGAGGAATAGATATGTCCCACTGGGTTGCATATTGCTTTCTCTGACCGTCCTCATTTACACATGATCACATACAGCCTGTTGGAAAACCATGCCTCTTTCTCCAAACTGGACCACTCAGGTATGTGTACATTTTCTTAGGCCTCTCCAGCACTACCTGAGTTCATGGAGGAAGAATAAGCTTCCTCTGTGACCTACTTTGTCAATGGATCATAAAATACCAACCTCCTCTATCACAGATATCATACCCTTTGGTCTGACCATGTCTTCAAAGAAGGAAAAGTTGTTGCCCAGTGTCAGGAACTGCTGTGCACCAGGAATGGAAGCTTTTGTCTATGACTGCGTCTGCCCATCCTGCTCCCGGCTGCCTGCTGCAGAAAGCCTAAGAACAGATGGCTTTTCTTTTTCTTAGCTTACGACAGGCTAACACTTTCCCCACTGTAGCTACTAAGTGCCTAGATGGCTGTTGAGAATCTGTGGATGTTAGATTTCTTTCTTCATTTGAGATATTTTGTAATCCTAGCAAGGATGGGGCAGGGGGAACATGACACTAACCTTTCTTTCTGTCTTTGATAAATAACATTAAAAGCAATTCGAAAGCTATGCAGTTCTAAGAACAAAATATGATTGTACACCTTGGGATATATTATTTTTTTAACGCAAAGTGAGCTAAGGTGCATGAGAGAGCATTTTAGCATGTCAGCATTAATCTGTGTTTCATTATGTCTGTCAGAACAGGATTCATGAGGATAAAACCTCTGCTGAGCAGGAGCATTCTCTTGAAACCACAAGTATGATGTTTCTGAAAGATGGCAAGGTGAAATTTTTATCATCTTCATTAAAATCAAAATCCTACAGTCTTTACCAGTGGCGAAACAAAATTTCTGAGCTAGTGCTACAGGACAATTTAGAAAGATAGCGAAATGCAAACTGATATTGATGTTCAGCACAGTCAGGATGTCTTCTCTTTCTAACAAAGAGATACGCTTTGTGTCATGACATCGTGGACAGTGCCTATCTAAGTGTCATTACAAAGCCGACTATTCCCACTTAGTGAGCAGAAACTGCATAATGAGATATGATAACATTTCCTGAGAAGCAGAGGAAGAAGTAATTAAAACCCCACCAGGTAATACTCAACAGCTGCACATTGTTCAGGTGAACTGCTAAATCTTATGGAAAACTATTTACCTCTGTTGCCACAGTGGTCAGTCTTCACTTGCTCTACATGCAAGGACCCACCAAGAACTGTCCAGTGCCTTCCCAGTATAAATATAAGAAGAAAGCATTTTTACAGTAAGGACCTTTGTCCTCTGTACATCTCCAAGTAATTTACAAAGAAGTCAATATCTTGTTCTTGCAGATGGGAAAGCAGAAGACCAAAGGTGAACTGATTTATCTGTGGTCACTCAGCAGCAAAGCCTGGGGAGTCCTAAAGTCCAGAGCCCTAACAGAGAGGGAGCTCCCCTAACAGGGAGCCCTAACAGAGGGCTCCATTCACAACCCCAGGTGCAGAAAGAACATTTCAGGGAATAAATTCCAGCTCTGCTTTCCAGATCATAACAACTATCTCCTTAAAAAGAAAAGTACTGATCAATATGAAAAAAGACAGGTGGATGAATGGTGGAAAGATGGCATTTGATCACCTTAAATGGAAAACACAAGCAATGTAGACTGTCTGCTCATATGTCATTCACGGGTATGAGTCTATACAAGCCAGTTTTGCAAGAGTTTGTAGATCTTTTTTACGATTGTGTTTCAGCTTCAAATCTTATTGGCTTCTGCCCACAGACTTGTCATCTCTGGAAACCCCAGCTTATGCTAAGTTTAGGCCCTTTGAGGTCTCTGGAAACACATGGAATACAAAAAAGGCAGAAGAAACTGGGAAGGTAGAGGAAGCAGATGATAAAGCAGGAAAAGTAAAGAAAGAAAAAGAAATTTGAGAGAAAGGAAACAGAAGAATGAAGAAGATTAAGAGAAGGGAAGAGTCATGAGAAGAAAAATAGGAGGAGAGATAGGGAAATTTGGTTTTAATTATGTTTATTGTAGTTCTTCATGCACAAAATTACGAAGTGAAAACAACATAAACAGCTCTGCTGTAGGCATGCTAGGAAACAATCCATAAAGCAAGAAAACGTTATACAGGAGCTTATAGTGACTTACTGCATTATTCACTAAGTAATAATTGCCCAGAAGAAATTAATGAGTCTTTTTTCAATTAGTTTGGCAGATAACTGGAAAGACTTACAGGCTTCTTTGCTGTAGATTCTTTACCTAAATAACAGATAAAAGACAACCAAGACCTTTAGAAGCTGGTTGTAAAAAAAAGT